ACCAGCCCAGGTTGGGTGCATGAGACAAGTGCCCGGGCCTGGTGCACTGGGAAGACCCAGAGGGATCAGGTGGAGAGGGAGGTGGGAGGGGGGACTGGGATGGGGAATACATGTAAATCCATGGCTAATTCATTTCAATGTATGACAAAAACCACTGCAATGTTGTAAAGTAATTAGCCTCCAACTAATAAAAATAAATGGAAAAAAAAAAAAAAGAAAGCCATTCTGACAGATTCTCCAGCATCAAAATTTTCAGACAAAACAGGAGATCGGCTGGTTTGGATATTACAGGCCCATATGCCCGGGGTCCTTGACCCCTATAAATCCTTGTTCCTTAATGCTCCACTAAAATATCCAAATTGTATTGATGTTGCTCCGTCAGATGTCATATGGAAAACTATAGACAACTGCCTTGGATATCCGGTATAGAAATCTTGAACTTATAATTCAAAAGTAGATTATAGAATACCGGGAGGCGGAAACTAGGATCTGTTTCTGACCATGTCAGTAGGTTTAGCAGTTGGAAAAATGATTTCCTCCCTTGACCACTGGTGCCCAGCAGATGGCATCATAATCAAGTTGTTCCCCCCATGTTGTCCTATAAACTAAGGGCAAAGCCTTTTGGCAACCAGAAACTTGGAGAGCCCTTGCTGCCACCTCCCTTGTTGCTCTGTCTCGGCCAGAGAACGATTCCACCTATTCTGTGCTGGCCTGTTTACCCTCCCCTCACGTTTTTTTGTTTCCTAATGATTCAAAAAGCCTTCATATACAGATGAATTCTTCAGGTGGACCAAATATAGTCTACTGTGAGCCATGCATGCTCTCATCCTCTTTAACCCCTCAATATAGTATCTGTTCTTTGGTGGCGCTGCAACGCCCAGCCTACCTATGGTGCCCGTCAGAGTGAACGCCTATTGGATGACAAGTACGGTTTAGCCGTTCTGCAACACTACAAGATTTAACGCGTTCCCGACGGTTTGCAGGACGACTTACTCTAGGGATTTCAGCTTTGATAAGAGCAGTCACCTCTGTCACTGCGGCAGCGATATCATTGACTCAACAGGTACATACTGCTCAATATGTCACTGATATGTCAAAAAATGTTTCTTTAGCTCTAGCTATGCAAGAGATTATAGATAGGAAATTAGAAGTAAAAATAGATGCCCTAGAAGAAGCAGTCATGCATATTGGAACTGAGTCGCAGGCTTTAAGGGTAAAGTTAGCGTTATCCTGTCACGCCGACTATCGGTGGATCTGTGTAACGCCCCTGAAAGTAAATGATACAGATTACAATTGGAAAAAGACTAAAAATCATATTTCATGTGTATGGAGTAGCTCCAGCATTAGTTTAGATCTTGGAAAGCTCCACGGTCAGATAAAAACCTTAGAACATTCCCGCCTGGCCTTCACTGCTGCAGGGGCTGCTAATGATTTTTTTCATACCTTTTCTAACTTTATTACTGGAAAAAATATCCCATCAACTATCTTCTGGAAAAAATATCCCATCAACTATCTTCAGTTACGCTGCTGTAGCAGCCCTAGCTTTACTTCTCACTATAATCCTTCCTTGCCTTGTCAGAACTCTGGCAGAGTGTGCAGACGCTCACGACTGAGATCCACCTGGCTGCCTTGAAAAGTAAAAAAGGGGGAGGAGGCTTCTCCTCCCGTGTTTGTTTTTTTCTTTTCAATTCTCAACCTTGTTCACACCGAGCCAGATCAGCAATTCATCAATTACACTTTAGACTGTCTTGCCCGCCCCCTCCTGGTACTGGCTCTGGTGGAAGTCTCTGCTATAGTTAAGTTGTGGTTCTCTGTGCCCACCTGTCTGTCTCCAAAACAGGGCAGCAGTTTGCCTTGAGACCTCAGTGCTCTAATGGATCTAAGAACAGTTGGCGATTTTCAGTTTGGTCAACGCTTTTTGTGTTGGTGAGAAGGGTAACAACCAGGTCCCTTGCATGCGGGCATATATATATTTCCCCCCCAATTGTTTTTTTTTAATTTTTCCCAATTGTTTTTAAAATTCTCCATGGTTTCAATCACCATAACTACATTTTTCTGCAGATTTTGAACATGTATTATACAGTACTTTTCTGTTGGGCTTCCCTGGTGGGTCAGTCAGTAAAGAATCTGCCTGCAATACAGGAGACCCAGGTTCGATCTCTGGGTTGGGAAGACCTCCTGGAGAGAGAAATGGCAACCCCCTCCAGTGTTCTTGCCTGGAAAATCCCAAGGACAGAGGAGCCTGGCGGGGTGCAGTGCGTGGGTCCCAAAGAGTCAGACACGACTGACCAAGTGAAGCACCACTTTTCTGTAAAGTCTGTCGTCTAGAATTACTTGTGATCCCTTTCCGCCGACTGACTCTGAACTCTTCCCCTTGGCCCACCACGTCTGGGCTTGACTGGTGTGATTCTGGTGTCACGGGTCATGTGGCAATGAGACTCGGCGCTGCTGTCCTCCCGAGGGGTGCTGACGTTTGCTCTCCAGGCAGTTGAGTGACTAGAAGACTACAGGGACTTGTGCAGCTTGAGCTTTACATTTTATTCTTCTCTGAAAGCATCTGTCAGTTCCCAAACTTGGTCTCCCCTGGAGTTGGCCATTTTGGCCTCTGGCTTTGTCCTGCCCTGGGACCTTCTGCGTTTCAGGCCAGCCACGCACTTGAAGGGAGTTCATAGCTCGAAACTTCCCAGCACCCCTCAGTTTTCACCCATCACCCTCTCCAGCCAATAAGCCGGCGACTTTCTGCTCTGGTCTCGCTCATCAGGAGCCCTCAGGAGAAAGTGAAGTCGCTCAGTCGTGGACTGCAGCCTACCAGGCTCCTCTGTCTGTGGGGTTCTCCAGGCAAGAATACTGGAGTGGGTTGCCATTTCCTTCTCCAAAATCTCTTACAAGCACTGCCTGCTTGCAAATTGTTTGCTTTTTGTGATTCTCTGGTGCCTGCGACAGCTGTTCCATGTGTTTTGTTCACACTTCATAAAGCACAGGAGTCTGTGATGACTGGAAGTGGAAATTCTACCTTTTGATTTTTGAGACAAAATCATGTCATCTAAAGTATCATCCAGTAACCGTATCAGCTATTTAAAACATGAACTATTAAAACACAACCAGTGAACAAAACTAAATATTAAGACCTGTAAAGGAGGATGAATCTCTACAGTCTGTCAGAGGAATGTTGCTGTTCAGTCGCTCAGTCGTGTCCGACTCTGCGCCCCCATGGACTGCAGCACGCCAGGCCTCCCTGTCCATCACCAACTCCCAGAGCTTGCTCAAACTCATGACTATCAAGTTGGTGATGCCATCCAAGCATCTCATCCTCTGTTGCCCCCTTCTCCTCCTGCCTTCAGTATTTCCCAGCATCGGGGTCTTTTCCAATGAGTTGGCTCTTTGAATCAGGTGGCCAGAGTATTGCAGCTTCAGCTTCAGTACTTCAGTGAAGATTCAAGGTTGATTTCCTTTAGGACTGACTGGATTTCCTTGCAGTCCAAGGGACTGTCAAGAATCTTCTTCAGCACCACTGTTCAAAAGCAGCTATTCATTGGTGCTTAGCTTTCTGCATGGTCCAACTCTCATATCCATACATGACTACTGGAAAAACCATAGCTTTGACCCTATGCACCTTTGTCAGCAGAATAATGTCTCTGCTGTTTAATATGCTGTCTAGGTTTGTCATAGCTTTGATTCCAGGAGCTGCAGTCCTTTTTTCATGGCTGTAGTCACAGTCCGCAGTGATTTTGGAGCCCCCAAAAATATCTATCACTGTTTCCACTTTTTCCTCATCTATTTGCCATGGAAGTGACCGGACTGGATGCCATGATTTTAGCCTTTTAAATGTTGAGTTTTAAGCCAACTTTTTCATTCTCCTCTTTCACCTTCATCAAGAGGCTTTTTAGTTCCTGTTCACTTTCTGAAATGAGGGTGGTGTCATCCCTCAACCCCCAAGACAGCCTGTGACCACGCGCGCTACCCCACTGGGGCGGGGCCAGGACACTGGCGCGTAAGTCAAGGGTCTCACCCAGGCCCCGCCCACCGCAGCCCCGCCCCCAAACCAGCGCCTTCGGTGCCCCGCCCCTCCCCATTGGGAGGAACGCGCCCGTTTCCATGGCGACGCCGCACCAGGCCGAGGCAGCCGAGCCACCGAGTGGGCGTGCAGCGGCAGCGGCTATATGAGCGCGGCGGGGGTGGCGGCCGGGCAGCGGCCCCGCAGCTCGGGGCTCCCGGGCTCCCGGGGCGCATCGCGCCCGCGCCCGCGCCTGCCGGCGGTCCCCCAGCCCGGACAGCACGGCACGTCGCTGGGGCTCAGCGAGGCTCAGAAGCGGGTGCTGGACTTGGAGAAGAGCGTGCAGTTCCTGCAGCAGCAGCACTCGGAGACGCTGGTCAAGCTCCACGAGGAGATCGAGCACCTGAAGCGGGAGAACAAGGGTGAGGTGGGCCGCGGGCCGGGCCTCAGGAGGCGGCCTCGCGGGACTCCCCTCCAGGCCCCAAGCCCACTACACCACCCCCAACGGAAACCCGACCGCCTCTTTTGAAAAACTTTTGTCGAAGTGAAACCCCGCCCCGAGTCTGCGCAAGCAGGTCGATGTATTTTCCCAAGCCAAGCAAACCCAGATGGATCCCTGCCACCTGGGTCATCCTGACTCACTCTGTCCCCTCTGAAGCCCGGGACCAGCCGGCAGAGGGCGCCCCGCAGACGTCACGGATGCAGGGAGGGGCTCTGGCTCGGGGAGCAGCCAGGGGCACCCCGAGTCCACCCGAGGGTGCCATGGCTGGGTCCACAGGGGCTCAGCAGGGAGGCCTGGGCGGGGGGCAGCCAAGCTGCGTCTCTCAGAGTGGCCCCGGCAGAGCCTATGCTTGCTTTCAGATCTCCACTACAAGCTCATCATGAACCAGAAACCGCAGAAGAAAGGTAAGGCTGAGGCCCACAGCTGCCTCGTGCAAAGTGACTGCTCTCAAGAGGAGCCCCCCGGACTGCCTGTGCGCACGCCAGCCACCCCAGGGGGATGGGCCGGACACACGGATGGCTCCCAGCCACGGTCTGGGTGACTGTGCACCCGAGCACAGCAGGGGCCAGGACAGAAGAGCAGGAGGCAGTCTCTGCCCTCACGCCCCCACGGACCCCGGGCTTACTCTCCCAGAGGCTCGTCCACTTGCACTGCTGCCCCAGACGTCATCCCCTGAAACATGAGCCAGCCCAGCACAGCCCCAGCTCCGGTCCCTGAGGCTTCGGGCCACCCCACTGTCTCCACAGCAACCACGCACGGCCTTATCTGCAGCCCACTTACCTTGCCTGTCCCCCAGTCTCACCCAGGGCTCCCCTCCCCTCCTATTGCTGAGGCCAGGTCTACATTGGGAGGTGGTCTGAGTGGTGAGTGGTGCCAGCCTCGAAGGCCCCCAGGGCACTCTTCCTGGGAGACACGCAGAGGGTGAGGTGGCGGGGACCCTTCTCTGGTGGGGCCCCACAGCTGCCAAGCACTGATGTGGGCACGCAGTGCTGGGGGCCCCCGAGGGGACCTGGGGAGAGGCCTTGCTCCCACTCGGACCCCGCTTCCACCCGCAGCCCCCTGGCCACGGCTCCCTCTGGGACTGGCAGGGTCTGGGGAGGCCTTGCTCAAGTGTGAGGGGATACCCGGACCAGCGGGGATGGGAGCGTGGCCCTGCCACCGTGGGCTGACCCCACAACCCCCACAGGCAGCATGTCGAGCTCCAGCCTTCAGTCCAGCAAGTCCGTCTCGAATACGACAGTGTCGGGTGAGTCCACCAGTACCTCTGTGCTCGGGGTCGGGTGGGAGCAGGGCCCCTCGGGCACCCTGGGCCTGATGTGGGCGCGGGGCGCTGAGTGGCATGCCGAGCGCCCATGGTGGTCCACAGGGGGCACCTCTGCCAGGCCCTGTGGACTTAGGGGTCAAGGAGATGCTGAAGGGACCCAGGAGGGCCCTCGGGGGCCTGTGAGCTGAAACCCCCCCAGGACGAGGCCAGAGGACAGGCCAGCGGGCTGGCTGCAGGGAAGACCATCGGTGTGGGGTGCGAGGCAGGCAGAACATGTGACCCAGGAGCTCGGTGGTCCTCTGCCTGCTCACCTCAGCCCTCAGAGCAGGCAGGACGCAGGTGGGGGGTCTGACGCGGAGCTGACGGAGGGCCTCGAGAGCCGCCCTTCCCTATGCTGCCTCTGAGCCCCTAGGCTTCACGTGGGCTGGGCCCAGATCTCGCCTTCCGTTTCATTTTGCCCGAAATGGGGTTCAGAGTCAGGGAACGGCTACTGGCCCACCCCCCACCCCCACCCCGAGCTCTGCCGAGGTCCCCAGGACCACTCTGCAGGGCATGTGGGGCTCTCATCCCGCCTCAACTGCTGGGGCAGCCGGCCTTCAGCACTGCAGCCCCTTCAGGACATTCAGGCCCCCGCGGGCTTCGCCCAGCCCTGCCTCTGTGCCTCCCAGCAGCCTGCCCAGAGGGAGGCCGTTCCCCTGTCCCCTTTACTGAGGGGCGGGTGGGGCCCCGCGGGTGCAATGGCCCACTGACGCCCAGTGACAAGGCCCCGTCTGGGTCTGACCTGCAGCCAGCTCTCAGGGCAAGGCCAGGCCCCAGCCCGGCTCCTCTAAGAAGCAAGACTGGAAAGCTGAAGTCCCCCAGAAGCCGGACCTGGAGGAGGAGACCTCGGTCAGCACCCTGCTTCACGGCAGCAGGGTGGACAAGGCCCTCGGGGTGCAGGGGCTTGTCAGGTAAGGCTCCCTGCACCCATGGGACGGGTGGGCTCGGCAGGTTCCCAGCCTGGAACCCGCCCACAGGGTCACCCTTTCAGACGGTCTCCAGCGGGAAGTGACCTCCTGAAGGCTGGGCTTGCCCACCGGATGGGCACTGCCTCCTCCCCTCCCCGGGATCCAGTGGGCCCCCTGAACTGGCCTGAATCTGCAGGAGGGGCTGGCAGCAGCCCCTAAAGCATGCTTTCAAACACAGAAGCAAAGTGTCCAGGCCTCCAGATTAGCTTGCCTTTCACCCAGAGAACCCTGAGTCTGGTCGGGGCTCCCCCAGGAACTGCTAGGCTCTGGAGGGCATGGGGTTGGCACACCAGGGCAGGGCCACCCCTGGGGCTCGCGTGCTGTCCACTGGGCCAGCGGGCCCGCCCCTGCTTCTCTGAAGCCTGTGGGCACCCCGCGCCAGACCCCAAATTTGCGGGCAGCACTGAGGGCAGCTCAGACCACACCCGCCCTCTCAGTGTGTGTTGCGAGAGGAGGAAGGGGCGGGCCGGGATCCAGGCTGGCCCCAGGGACCCCCACCTGCTGCCAGGCACAGAAGGGAGCCAGGCTGCGGAGACGCCCTCTCCCCACGCTGGAGCAAGTGCTGCCCTGAGAGCCGGTGAGACCACCCGCGGCAGGCTGCCCCCGCCCTGACGGGCAGCTCTCACAACTGTTTCAGGGAGGAGGAAGCAGACAGTGCTAACGCAGTGCCCCCCTGGGCGGTGGGCAGCCAGCACAAGGGCAGGCAGGTGCCAGGGGCGCCCCCCTCGGTGGGCCTGCCCCTGCATCTGCGCAAGCCCGCCACCCTGCGGCAGTGTGAGGTCGTCATCCGGCAGCTGTGGAATGCCAAACTCCTGGAAGGGAGCCAGAGGCCCAGGGCCGGCCCCGAGGAGGCTGGGCCCAGCTCCCCCAGGTAGGTGCCCTGGGAGGCCACAGGGGCACGGTTGGGCCTGCTCCTCTGGGGCTCACAGCCAATTCCCTTCTCCAGGGACCAGGAGGCCCTGCACTTGGGGGCCACGCAGCTCCCCAAGATTGCCACCAAGGGCATCTCTAAGAAATGGTGAGTCCTACCGGGGTGGGAGGTGGGCCGCCTCTGCGCCTGGGGGCTGCGGGGTGGGGAGGGCGCCCGCGGTGACCCCCGCTGCCCCCAGCCTGATCCTAAGCCGGGCGCCTGTGGCGGAGCGTGCCATCCTGCCAGCGCTGAAGCAGAGCCTCAAGACCAGCTTCGCGGAGCGGCAGCGGCGGCTGCAGGCGGTGCAGGGCCGGAGGCTGCGCCGCTCACCGCTCTAAGTGCCGGCGTGGCCGCCACGCTGCGGGACTGCGCCCCACGGGCTCCCAGCGCTCATAAGCCAAGCCAACTTCCCATCAGCCAGGCACACGGCGGATGCCGCCATGGCCTTGGGGCTGGGAACTGCTTATTTTCTTGTTCAGTTATTTTGCTATTCCGCGTTCTCACACCTGTGTTATGAAATAAGCATGAGCCTACCTGTCGAAGACTGGAAATAAAGCTCTTTTCTCCCAGTCGCGAGCCTCGTCCCTCACCGGCTCCCAGGCACCGGGGCCCCGAGTGCCCCAGCTGTGTGCCTGGCGGTGGGCGGGGCCTGCCGGGGGTCACCCCGCCTGCCGGGACCTGGCAGCTGCCATGGAAGAAATCAAGTTCAGGAGCAGCCCACACGCTCCTCCCAGAGCGCAGGGGGCTGCCTTCCAGGCACCCGACCAAGACACCGTCCTGTGTCCACCGGCACAAACAGCTGGTGAGTGGCCCCGCCTGGCCCGCCTTCCTCCACCAAGGGCAGGGGCATGGCTGCGGGACAAGGTCCTCCCCAGGATGCTGGCTCCGCCTGGCGATGGCCGCAGGACGCCCCGTCTGCCAGAGCGACAGCTTCGTCTCAGACCCCTGCCCAGCAGGACAGTCCTCCCAGCCCCACGGAGTCTGGGCGTCCCCCCTCCAAAGTGGGGGAGCTGGCTCTGCCCCAGCAGCGCTCCTCAGTGGACAGAGGGCCCCTGACTCACTGGGGGGAGCGGGGGGGACACAGTGACAAATCCACGACAAGCACAGGAATAATAAATTTATTATAAGAACCACAGAAGACACGGTAATGCACATACAAAAAGAGGGGACGTCTCCAGCAGAGAGCCAGCTGGCCGACGCCCCAGCAGGAGCCCACAGCCTCTCAGAACGCCGGGTCTGAGGACGCATCCCGACACGAGCGGGCCCAGTGCCTAACACACGAGACACAGTGCCAGGAGCGAGAGCCACCGAGACGCCCTGCTCCGGGGCCCATAGCGCTGAGCGGCTCTAGGCCTGGCGGGCGGCGGGGCGGCGAGGTGTGAGGCCCCAGCGGTGGCGGGGCCCTGCAGCCAGCGCCCAGCCCCGGAGCACCCCGTGGCGCACCCTGCGCCCGAACCATGGTCAGGGAACGTGCGTGCATCTTCGGGGTCGCCTACGTCCTGCACGCCCCCCAGGAAACGGCAGAAGGCTTTCGGGCTCACACACACACCAAGGCTCACGCAGGACCCCACGGTGCCAAGCAGACACGGGCCCTGCAGAGGACAGCAGCCCGCAAGAGCAGGGCCGGGGCGTGGCTGGGGTCTCTCCACTCATGGAAGTGTGTGGCTGGTCCCGAGGTGGAGGAAAAGCAGAAGGGCTAACCTAGGTCCGGGCTCTCTAAGGAAGCCAGCATTGAGAAACGTCCGACACAGGGCCTGAGGAGGCTGCCAGCTGCCCCGTGGTCCCTGGAGGGCATGCAGCGTCAGTGCGGCTAAGCGGCAGAGAGGCAGGCCTGGTGGACGCTCTGGGCCCAGGTGTTGAGCAGGGCCGTGACCGAGTGCTTGTCAGGGAGCTGCAGCAGCCGTGAGGTCATGCACTGGTGCACCGACTGCAGGAAGGGGTTGGCGTCTGCGGGGAGGGGCGGCCGTGAGCCTCTGCGCCCCGCCAGGGTCCTCCACTGCCCCGCCCAGCTCCCACACCAGGGGGCAGCCGGACTGGCGACTGCCCTCAGGGCCCAGTCCTCTACAGACCAGCCCTGGGCCCAGGGAGGAACGTCTCCACTGGCGGGGCGCTCTTGGGGCCTGTCCCCGAGATGGGGCCCCAGCCTCACAGGGGCCCATAGGGGTCAGCACGGCAGGGGTGCGGTGGGCAAGGAGCCTCCCTGCTCTGTGGGCCTGCGAGACCCCCTGCTCCATCCAGCAAGGAGGAGGGCAGCAGGGCCTCATGGAGGAATGCCGGGAGCCCGCCCCCGGGGCACCCACCGTACTGCCACTGCCGGTTGACCCACAGCGGGCTCTGGGCGGGGTAGTCGGCGGGCACGCTCAGCTCCAGCGGCGGCACGCTGGGGAGGTCCTTGTCATCTGCAACATACAAGGCGGCACCTGAGACCCAGCAGTGCCCGCCAGGCCTGGAGGTCCTGGGGAGGCCTGTGCGGAGCCCAGGAGCTGACTCCCGCGCTTCCTGTCTCCTCAGGGCCTCAGGATGGGAGGGAGGGGCTTCTGTGCCCGGGGCGGGGCGGGAGATGAGAGCGAGCAGGCTCAGGGCCAGCCCGAGGCAAGCGCACACGTCTCGCGTGTGGGCCAAGGAGGACAGCGGGCAAGCTCCAGGTTCCAGGAGGGCTGGGCTGGGGCGGCAGGCGGTCCCACCAGCCCCGCCCCAGCACTCACCCAGCTTGCATATCAGGTGGACGGTGCCGTTGTTGCTGCAGTGCGAAGGGTCTAAGTTCACCAGGAACTTGGGGTCCAGCCGGGCCACCTCCCCCTGGAGCACGTTGGGGATACTCTGCCGCTCATCCTCTTCAAACTTCCGCTTCCGGGTGGACACCACCGGGGCCCTGGAGGAGGCAGCCGTGCTGACGCCCTGGCCAGGCTGTGGTCCGGCCCGGCCACCCGCCAAGCCCCAGGGGACGCACGGGATGGGCGGGCCGTGGATGGCCGCCATGGCCGGCACGAAGGTGCGGTAGAGGGAGTGGTTGAAGACGGGCGACCGGATGTTGGCCAGGACGGCGTCCAGGAGCGGCTGGCAGAGGTACTGCTGCTTGGTGGGGGGCACTGCGGGCGGCGGGGGCGTGGGCTGCGGCAGGACGCTGGGGTCAGCAGCCCGCTCGTGGGCCCCGGCCTTGTCCTCACCCAGCCAGCCTTTCTGGCGTCCCCACAAGCTCCACCCCACAAGCAGGGCGGCCAGGTCCATGGGCCACGAGAGCCGAGTGCTACAGGGCCACAGCCAGAGGCTTCCCCCCACGCCCTCACCTCACCCACAGCACTTGGCAGGGCCCCCACCCCCTCGGACTGCAGGCTCCAGCTCGTGGTTAGACCGTGGTGAGCCCTGACCACCAGGGATGCCCACGACCCTAGCAACACCGCCAGGCACAGCAGCCCACTCACCACCGCCATGTCATTTTTGAGCTTCTCCAGGGCGATCTCGCATTTCTGCAGCGTCTTCAGAGGACACCTGAGGGAGGAAGATGGGGCTGGCCCTCCACGTGGGGGCGGGGAGCCAAGCGCTCCCAGGTCTCTCTACCCAGCCATGTGGACAGTCTGGCCTCCTCTAGACGCAGCGGGCTGGGGCCTCGGCCCCCGGCACCACTCCCAGGAGCCCGCCAGCCCACGCGCCGTCCCCAGGCCCAAGAGTCTGAGGCAGGGCAGCCCCACGCCCAGGACAAGGCCCGCCGTGCCAGGTCCAGGGAGGATGGAGGCCAGGCCCCTGCCCCCACCCAATGACAGCTGAGAGGCCAGAGGGCTGTCCACCTCCGACAGGACCCCTCAGCGCCCACGTTCCGCCCAGACGAGCAGAACAGGGAGGACATTCCAGAAGAGCGCCCAGCCTGAGCCAAGCCCCCAGGAGACGGCAGGGTCCCCAGGCCAGACCACCTGCACGGGGGGTGCTGGCCAAGCTCTGGCCTCAGCAGCTCGGTGGCTGGTGGGAGAGGGAAGGGGCGTGAGGGTGTGGCCCTGCCTTTAGCCCCTTTCAGACAGTCTGGTCCCTCCCACGGCCAGCGCGTGGGAGCTCAGTGCCCCTTCTGCACATGTGGGCACTGGGACCATCACCGGCCCAAGGCCACCCGCACGTCGGGGCTGGGCTGAGGCCCTCCAAGGCCAGCAAGAGGGCCACGAGGGCCGCGGGTGGGGCCCTCTGTGAGCGGCGGGCGCAGCACTGTCCCCGCAGGCTGGCGGCGAGGCTCACCGCTTGGAAGGATCCGTCAGGATGTCCAGCAGGCTCTTCATCTTGCTCAGGTCCTTCTTCCTGTCTGCGGCAGAAGTGGGCCCTCAGACAGGGCCGAGGTCCTGCCCTGCCCCACCCTGCCCACCGGCCCGCAGGCCCACCTTCGTTCTTGTCGATCTTGTTGATCATGCGGCGCAGCGGCTCGATGTACTTGGACAGCTGTTTCAGCTTGTCCAGGTACTGCTGCTCCTCAGCCTGGCTGGAGCCCGCGGGGCTCATGACGGAGCTGGGGTTCACTGCGGGACACGGCCCGGTGAGCGCAGCCCGGCCCACAGAGGGCATGGCTGTGCCCGACCCATGCCAGACTTACCAGGGGTGTTCAGCGGTCCTGGGGAGGGGACGCTGAAGTTCTGCGGGGTGCGCGCCGTCACCGGGCTCTGGGAGGGCTGTGGCGAGGGGCTGGGCAGGAAGCTGCTAGGGGACGGGGCGGGGCCGGAGCTAGACATTGGAGTTGGGCTGCGAGCTGGGCGGGCCGGGCTGCGGGGACGGCTGCGGGGGAGGCGGCATTGACTGCGGAGTATGCACCTGCTGGCCCGGCGACGGCGAGGACAGCACCGGGAGGCCACTCTGGCTGACCTGCAGGGAGGGCGCACCTGCTGAGCCGCCCCGCGCGCCCCCGCGGCCCCTCTGCCGCCGCCTCTCAAACACCCACACAGTGCATGTGGCCCCAAGCGCTGGCAGCAGGGCTGGGCTGCTGGCCCTGGGCTAGTGGGGACTTCTGAGCAGGGACACGATGTGCCAGGTCCCTGCCTCGTGTGTGTGGGAGCCTGTGGGCAGGGGAGGCCAGCGAGGACCACGCACAGTGGCTGGTGGGCCGACCTCCCAAAGCCTCCGTGACCCCTTGGGCCCCGAGGACAAGCCGGGTGGCAGGGGAGCGTGGAGCCTGTGCCATGCCGTCACCCCGCGTCTCCCTCACCAGCGCCCACGCCGGAGCTGCTCTCTGGCAGCCGAGCAACCCCTGCCGCGAGGGGAGAGCGCAGAGCACTCAGGGTCACCCGCTCCCTGCAGCCCTCGCTGGTCGGACGCAGCGGGTTCCCACCCCACTCTCCCACTAGGACGCCGCCGTGTCTGTCTGTGA